GAGCCGTTAAGGAAGTTCCGCGGCTTTTACACGATATTAATATGAAGCTGGAATTTCCACCCCCCTCCCCCTAAAACTACAACAACAAACACACGTAGACACGCCTACTGCGTGGAAAATAAAGTCAGTCTCGAAACTTCACTTAGTGTCATTGACATGTCCCTGACTGAAGTGGGTCAACTGGTTAAGAATGTCACAGACTCACAGTGCTCCAGTTCTATCGCCAATAGACTTCAAAGCAATCGTAGTCTTACTTTTACTTTTTTTTTTATTATTTCTGGTTACAAATATAGAACAATGGTCAGTTAACTTATGCTGTTTGAGGACATTTTTAACAATAAAATAGGCCTACAAATCCAGTAACACACACGACTTAGATGTAGGCTATATAATTTACATATGGAATTAATAATAGCCTATGTAACCTACATTGCCTTAGTGTTTCATTCCATTTAAATCAATGTCACAAGCGAGATATCCTAGTTTTATCAAAGTTATAAGATCTACTTATCAGGCTTTTTTTTTAAAGCTTATCTCGGACTCTGTCTGGTACAAATCTTGTAAAAGCTAATCTTACTCCCTTCATATTCTATTATCAAGTTGAAAAATTGTTCCGCTATTAATTGTCGAAGACAAAGCATGGGTCAATTTTAAAAAATTGAACAATTCGTTAATCGGATAGAGGTAATTATAATTAATTTTGTCTTATATATATTGTATATATATATATATATATATATATATATATATATATAAAGGGGAGATAATCCGTGCAGTATTGATAGAGATATGGCTGTTATTGTACTGCTCGTTTCCCTTGTATAATCTTTTTTATTTAAATATTTTTAAACTCTTTCTCTCCTAACTGACGATACCAGCGTTGATTCCACCAGAATGTGGTGAATAATTACGGAGAGAAAGAGTTAAAAAGAATTTGGCTTGTTTAGTTATTGAGTTGGTGTTCGATTTAAAATGTAGTAACATATTTAGATTTACACTTAGAGCTAAGTTATTAGGACAGACTCTTCGTTACATCTTGTTGTTAGGGAATGTGTGTGTGTGGGGGTAGGTGTAGGAAGTAGACTATAACAGTGTGACTGTCATGTTGTAAATCATAAGAATACAGAAGATAGGCTTTATAATAATTTTCCAATGATTTCGTTCCATAATTACTATTCCGTTTTCTTTTTAAAGCTATTCACTTCTTAAAGGATAGGAATGGCAGGGAGCATTGTCCAAAGGCTGCAGACTATTTGGACTAGCCAAGCCATTGGACTCGAGACAAAAATACACCTTCTCAACACAATCGTCATTCCAACTGCTACATATGCATGTGAGACGTGGAAGTCATCTGTCAAAATTGAGAAAAGACTAAATGTGGCTCAACAGAGATGGCTGAGACGGATTTTGGGCGTCAGTTACACAGATCGGGTCTCAAACAAGGAAATCCTATGCCGAACTGGGAGTCGAACACTTGGTGAGGTTGTGACTGAGCGTCGCATGAGGTTTGCGGGATATGTTCTACGTCAAAGTGAATTACGCACACCAAGAGTTGCGATAACATGGAAGCCAAAACAAGGAAAGCGCAAACAGGGACGTCCTCGTATTACTTGGCGACACACCTTCATGGAGGACCTCAGAACAGTGGACACCAGGTGGGAGGAGGCTTCAGACATTGCCAGTGACAGATCTTTATGGAGACAGCTTGCCGCCCAATGCGCCGAACGGCGCGGGAGGACCTAAGTCTAAGTCTAATTCATTTCTTAAAATTTTTCTCATAAAACATTGTTATTATTCTTATCATGTAATGGTGGCTTTAGAATTACATTCATAGACAATAGGGGTCTACTTGTAAAACAAAAATTTCAAGTTATCTGTTTCAATTATATTAGAAAGGACAGAAACATAATGATCATTCTACTTGTGTAGCCTCGGTCCGGGGCCTATCTTGAAACATTATGCATACTTATTATCAGATAACGCTGTAAATATGCATTGTATCTATAATAGGCCTACATAATAAGTCGCCTCGCGTCCACTTTCTGGCTCAAGTATGCACACTATTGTACGTGTTTTACGGGGTGAAATCTCTAGCGTCGGCCGTGTGTTATGCGCTGTGGACTGTCGTCTCGATAACTCCGAGTTCGAACCCTGCGGGAAGTTTGGGCTAGGATGTATTAACTTATCGATTCTGAAAGGACATCCGGAACATGCAAAACAAACAAATCGAATTGTTTTTCCTGTAATGACGTAAAGACAGATCTACAACAGCTAAAAGTCGGCATGGAGATGTAAAGCACAGGATAGATCTGAATGGAGAGATGTGCTAAAGCAGGCCAGGGCCCCCTTCATGAGCTGTAGCGCCACTGGAAAGGATCTCTTTCTTTCTCCACCCCTCTCTCATTTTCCCAACTGATTCAGTCAAGTGATAGGATCATAGAGCGTTGAGAATGCTAAATGAATGAAATAGCGCTAAACAAAAACAAATGGTTAAAATGTATTTTTTTAATTGCACAGATGTATTGTTGTTGGTCTAGAATAGTCTTGATCTATTACAAATTTAATTACTTGTAAGATCCAAACCAATTGATACAATTACACTTCGTATATGCTTGGATTTTTTAAAAAAGAATGTTTATGTTTTTGTAGTTTATATTCATATAATCTAAGTTGATAATCGTGTGTATTAATCATTTTTTGTATGGTTTATCTAGAGAGTTCATTCTCGAGCGAACGTAAAGTCTTGGTTGTGAAAACCATTTTATGCGGGAAATGTATAAGGTCCAAACTTTTGTCACGGATATAGATAGATCAAGAACAGTGTAGTCTATATATGGGTCTGCTTAGAATGTGACCTTATGAACTTGTCTGCTGCAATGCGGTTATTTCTGGTTCAAGACGGAGCATAAACAAGCAGCTAGCACTGCTGACACCCTCAACTTGGCACGTAGTCTTCTGCCACTAATATCTACAAGCATTCTTTCTCAAGATATTGAGCTAAAAGAACAAATCCGACGGCGACGCTATGGTGAGGGGCTTCTGTTTGATTGAACTTCAGATTATGGTGACATAAAGGACCAAAAAATTGGGTGGGATAATGAATAGCATATACCAAGTTACGTGGTGGAATGGACCTGTGCTGTGGTACTTTTATATTTTGAAATACCGGTATAATTGATATACATTTGAATGCGATCACTATTTGCAGGTACCGGGTAATTATAACCTTTTAGCGAAAAGTATTTTTTAAAAATTGGGGAATAAGGGAGAAGAAAAGTGTGTGTGTGTGTCTGTGAGGGTTTTATCCTGACAAGGCTAATAAAAATATCCAGAGTTTTAGTAGACTATATACCTGTAGTTAAAACTGTTAAACCTCTAATTGTAATGCGTGCATTGATACAAGGGAAGATAACACTAGTTTAACTGAGTCAATAAAAAAGAATGAGTGTAGAGGTGATTGTCTCTAGTTGTATACATTTTCTTAAAACCATGTGTCAAAACAACCAATAATCATAATAAGACTTGTCTTCGAAAATTAATGAGGTATACAGTTTATTTTCCAGTGGCTACGCAGCCCCAGCTGTGACCTACATATTTTGCCACACCAGGGCAAGAATACCCATTGTCCGCCGGTGGTCGATTTAAACTGTAGGTTTACCAGAAGTCACCAATAATAATAATAACAATAAAAGAAACCCATGTTCGGCTTGTATTTTACCTGTCATCAACCTAACCCTATTTGTATTACCGGTTTATCGCATTGTGTTATTTGCAACACACAAGTCTCAAGTACCATACCGAGACGGAGTACTGTACTGTAATAGCCAATATTTCTAATCGTTTAAGAAACTGTATTTTCCTGTAAATGTATTTTTATTTCAAACACAATTTGACTTCTAGGTCACGTGTTCCTTGCTGACTTCAAGCTTCAGAAAGGTCTTCAGTTTGTACAGAGTCCGTGACGTTCGTACCCTCCCAGGTTCACGAGGTCAATACCACCTTGCTGGAGTAACCCTTTGTCCATTTCATCAAGTGAACTGTTACATCAGCTCGTACATTCCTCACACACTGGGATCGTTTTAACTTCACATGTCACCGACTTAAACGGGCTTTTCTTTCAGTCATGTCAATGTAATCCAAAGTCTTCAAAATTAATGGTACATTTTTCAAGTGTAGGAATTAATTATATTTTATACTCCGACCATTTTTTGTTTTTAAATGAACTTATATCGGTATTGATTCAATGAACTTGTATTGACTAGAAAAGTTATTGGAACAGTGCGAGTTGAAAATGTAGATAATCTTACATGGTTCGACCTCATCCAAGATAAAAAAAAAAAGGTACTTTGAGAATGATTGAAAAAAAAAAAAAAGCATGTGTTACATATACTGCATTAGCTCTAGATCTTATAGGCGACGTGTATAAGTCTGTCAGATCACGTGCATGCTGAGGACGAATTTCAAAGGAAAGTTCACGTTCAGAAGATAGTAAACAAAACAAGTTCCTCTAAAAATAACTTCTCCCCTTAGAACAGCGTAGCTACCTGTGACGTCAGCAACCTATAAATAGCCACATGAGTCATGACTAAAGGCTTGCTCCAAACAAGCTAAAATTAGCCGCATTTACGCCTAAAAATTAAGATCTCAAGTGAGGGCGATAATGACACATGATTTTTGGTTTTGCCAATCAAATCTATATTTTATGAAACTTTGACAAAAAATTACATCATGAGAAAGAACTACAAATATGTAGTAGAGCAAACTAAATTTAATTACCTTACATCCCGGTATATACAGGTCCTGATATAAAATTGATAAGAACCAAAACCATTAGAGACATGGGGCCGTTTGTAAGGTAATTTTGTATGTGCTCATTCTTCTAAAGTAATCTAAAGAATTGAAATATAATCCTGGAGGGCCACCAAGCTATAGCTTTTAAGTTGCCTTTAAGTAAATCCAAAATCCAGCAATGCAAATATACTAGACAACAAAGTGACACATTTCCATTTAGAAATGCATTTATTATAAGAATACTTCAATACAACAGTGTGTGAAGTTTGTAATGACATTAGTGAATTAATGAGCATTACCCCCACACCCTATACATAGGCTTAGTGAATGTTCAAACTTTTATTTACAGCAAAACAAATTTGTTATATAACTAGTCAACAGTCTGAGCAAACAGCTTCACCTTTCTACAAACATACTGTATAAAAGTAGTGATAATGGAATACATATTTTTTTTGTATGAGAAAAAAAAAAGGAAGGGGGTATAATCAATTAAAATAGCCAATTTGATATAAGTAGAAATTTAAAGAAGTTAAAAAAAATAAGGAGAGGGGGCTTAATTAAAGTGACCCACTAACCACTGCTAACACACACACAAATAACTTGTTCACAATCTCAACAATGAAACCTAAGATGTGTACAATGTCTTTACATTAATAACTACAAGAATGCTTATGCAACTAAATAAATTAGTAAATACAGACAAACAAGTTTGAAACCAATATATCAAAATGAAAATATAAAGATGAACAAACAAGAAAATCGAATCAATTATTTTATACAAATGAAAGACGTTGAATAAAAATGACAGTACGGTACTCATACATACATATGATTTCACTTCTGATAAATTCTTAAGTAAAAAAAGCAACTAATAAGTTAAAAAAAAAAAGATATAAATTAAACAATAACTAAAAAAATAATGTCAAAATAATATGAATTTGAATTTCCAACGTATGTAATTGTTGTAGCAACATGAATGGATGTATTGCAATCTAAAAACATTTTATTAGCAAACATCTTTATCAAAACAACTCCAACTTTAGTGCTAGAATAAATAGATTGCCCATCTAACAGAATTATACAATTAAAACATTTACAAAACAATGTGAGGATTTGTTGAATGCCCCCCCCCCTTTATTTTTATATTAAAAATTATCTGTGAATTAAGAAAGCTTAACCATTAAAAAAAAAATGCACTAGTAACCCTTTTAAGGTTTGACACATCCTTTTTCCTTGAAAAGTAACCGTTGGACACTACCAGGAGTTAATTGAAGAAACATGGAACATCAGTACAAATATTTTAGTTACAAATACCATATATCGAGTTGACCACAATAGTTATCTCTAGAAATGTGTTCCTCGCACAGGGTGATGTAGATTTGATTTTTTAAAAATAAAACTTGAATAGAATAAACTAATAGAATTGAGATTTATTAGAGTTTATCATAATGTGCACATTATAAATACATTTTTTTTTCCAAATATATCTAACACAAACTGCTATTCAATGAATATATAGATCTTCATTCAACATTAAGAAATGGACATAAAAAGAGAAAAAAAAAGTTTATTTAGACAAGCAGCTGTCAATTTATAAGTAGAATATCATTTTTAACTTTAAAACCTAGGGATTTGGTAATCTGCTTAAAAAATGAAGATTAAGTCCAAACCCCAAACCTTCGACAAGACAGTTAGGTATTACCAAAGGTTCAGCCCAGAACCATCATGGCAATAATCAGATAACATTCCACAGTGAACAACCACACACCCATCCTTTGGGTTAAAAAAAAAAGTTGAAAATTAGGTGATCATGATGAAAACCATATTTATAAACAGATACAGTATTGTACAGGTAAGCAATAACATGAGCCGAACTTTTACCCAATAAATAACTTACAATCAATCACAGACTATGTATTGCTAAGAGAACAACAAATGAGGGATGTGGCAGGATGTAAAATGGAAACCATGAGGAGTGTGAGAAGCAAGTGTGGAATGTGACACCAAGAAACAATCTCCACAAACTCTTACTAGGAAAAAAAAAAGTTTAAAATAGCCAATTAAACCCAAAACCCTTAGCCATACATACAGTACATTAACTAAAAGAAAAAAAAAAAGAACAAAAATATAAATCTTTATTTCAATGCTTAAATAAAAAAAAAAAAAAAACTCCTTTGGAAAAAATAAAAGAGATGCAACATAACAAATTAATGAGGATACTTTTGAAGATATAACCAAAATGTAGTTGTAAGACTAGATTGTTTCAAAACAGAAAGTAATAAGGGGAGCAAAGTTAATGTCCACAATTTTTCTTATTTCAAATTGCACAGCTGACAAGTTTGATATTTCGATCACAAATTTTGGCTCGATGTTGCTGTTCAAGGATAGGTGAAACTATGTTACTGATTTCCTGAATGCGTCTCCCAAAACGCTCTCTATCTAATGCATAGTGCTGCCATGTTCCACAGCGATCTTCAGTTCCAACCAAGTAAACTGTCAACAGTTCAGGCTCTGCTGCAAAACGTACCTGCAAAAAAAAAAAAAAATTCAGCAAAAACATCATCTAAAGACTATTAGGTTAAACCATGAAGCTTAGTGCTGACACAATGAATGAATGAATATATAATGAGTCTGTCTAATGACGCCTATACGTTATCCCACACTTTGACTCGATTTAATTCTAATATACAATCAAAGATACAACAGATGGCAAAGTGGCGTTTACTTTGTACAGTGCGGGGCGCAGCAGCAGCACAGTGTTATGCTGTGTACAATAAGCTGGGCTTAGACAGCTCATCTCAACAATGCAATCACTCTTTCTCACACATCAACGCACGAGAACATTTCCATTCATTTTTTTTCTATTACAATTTTAAGATTATCCCATCAACATGGCTGACGAAAGGAAGAGTACAACTTCTGCCAAGAGGCCCAATAACACCATAGACAGACACTAAGATGGAAGATCAAACTGCAGTAGGAAGGTGGAATGAAAGTCTTAACAATCGCTAGTAGCATGGGGTATTCTCATTCACCATTTCAGCTATATTAAAGACAGGCTTTCTAGTCCCTGACCCAGTCATTAAGTGAAGACTTAAAGAAAAAGATAAATACGGTGAAACAAAGATAAGTCCAGACCAGGGCGCATAACATTGACCTTTTAAGTTCGATGTCCATGGTCTATGTTTATGCCTTGGTTAGGATACTGAATTCTGGAGCTGCAATAGTATGTGTACATTACATCACCCAGATTAAATAAAAAGTTAAAATTTAAAGGCGAACTTTTAAATACAAATAAGATTTTAAAAAATGCTTAATTTAAAAAAAACAACTTTCAAATAATTTTACTTATAAGACATACTTTTCAATATTGTTTATAAAAACCATAAGTTTTAGGTTTCTGAAACCAGATGCTTAAATCATAATACTTTGTACCAAAAACAGATTTAGGTTTTAAAAGCATTAGTAACTGCCATTTTGTAAACAGTTGCCAAAGTAACACCATGGCATACTTTAATTTGTGGTGAAATTTTGAACCTATTTTTTAAAATGTAAATTTGAGAGATTTGTCTAAATTTGTTTGTTTAGGATGTTGAAGATAATTACATCCTGGCCCAAACCTCACACAGGACGATGGGCTGGCAGGGTTGGAACCTGGGACCCAGGGAATGCATTTAGAACAAAGTTGATTTATTAAAAACTAAATACCTTAATGAGAGGGTTCTCAATGTTTTCTTTGGTAGTCAGAGCTACACAGCTTCTGAAGCCAGCAGAGGGGTAGCACTTTTCCCACTTGGCATTAATTTCTTCTATTGCATTACCATTCACCAACTGCTCACCACCATCTGTTTCATCATTAACAGACAGGAAAGAAAAGTCTGAATCAGAGGAGCTATCACTAGCGGAGGTGATGACACTTTCAAGACTAGGAATGTTCTTCTGCTTAAAAATTGCATCAAGACTTAAGGCAACACTGAAAGAGTTATCTTTCATTGGAGAAACTGTAGCATCACAACTTGACCAGTCACTGTCTTCACTTTCACAATCAGACAGATCCGAATCTGATTGCAGAGTAAAAAAAACACAGGAAGGCTGTTTGCTCATTTTTGATTCAAATTTAACAGGTGTGGATGATTTACATGCAGAATTTATCATAACACTACAGTCAAGAGTTTTTGAAGAAGATTCCTTTGAAGAACAATTCATGGTATGTTTCTGTTTTTGACGCTGTCTTTTTCTTTGCTTTTTGGATGATGGACGGCCTTTTTTTACAACTTTCCTATGCGTAGAAAGAACGGAGAGCAGGCCCATACAGTTTGAAGCTTGTGGTTTGTTTAAAATGTTACTATTATGACTACTGCTAATATCACTAACCGAATGATTACAGCTGAAACTATCTGACAAGTCACTTGCATCTTCATCGACAACTTGAGAAGTTTCAACACTACATACTGAGCAGTCACTAGCATTTAAAATTTCCTGAGTATTAACTTCATGAGTATGCATGTTTTGGCTCTCTCCTTTGCAGAGATTAGCAGGCTGATCTGGACTGATTACCAGCGCTGGCTGAAGTGATTCTGCAATCATTTTTGTCGCAGTTTGAATTTCAGGCTGTAAAAGTTTAGCCAAAGATGAGGGTAGGCAAGCAGAACTGAAGTCGGGAGCACTGTGACAGCTGTGAAAAGCTCTGCTCATGTTTAGTCTCAAAGGACTTTGAAGACTTGAACCTGTGTGATGGCTGTATTTAAAACTGTGATCTAAAGAAAAAGACTGTTTTCCTGAATTTGTTAACTGACTGAAGAGAGACATCCTTGATCTTCCTTGCAAAGGATGGCCAACTGTTGTTGAGGACAGGGGAGAAGAAAATGACTTTTTCAAATGATTCTGTGGTGTTAACTGAAAAATCGACGCCAATGGCAACGATCGTATGCCTGCTAGACTGATCTCATTGGTTTGCACATGATTGATTGATGAATCTTCACCAACACTATTTAAACGTAACAATCCAGGCATGGTTAAAAGTTTTGTGGATGATGCTTGGCTAGGCATAGATCTATATGGTAGTAAATGACTTTTTGTGTGATCTTTAAAATCACAAGACTTCTGAAGTTGGCTGTTCATTAAAATTGCAAACTTGTTAAACACGTGAATCATGTATCAGACAGTCATGACTTGTAAAAGTTCATGAATCTCTAGATCTTGAATCTAGCTATTAAAAAAAAACAAAAGAAGATTTAGACTTGGATCTAGATAGATTCTTATTCAAAGTAGAAATATCTATAGCCCCAAGACTCTATCTAGATATCTACTTTGTAGATCTAGATCTTTTTATTAGAATCCGGCTTGGCCGTCTTAGTGTAAAAACTACACGTAAGATTCAATTCTTGCCAACAACTGAACAAATTTTATACAATTCTCATATTCTAAGTAAAGACAGTTAATCTTGACAAATATTCACAACACTGAACTATCAATGAAAGACTTAGATCTAATATGATCCTTGTCTAGATCCCAAAGCAGTACCTGTAGAAGGCCAAACTCCAGGAGATGTTCCAAACATCCACAAATTCATGTATCCTAATCCTTGGTTGTTTCTTTCACTTTCTGTGAAATAGTGTTGAACTGGCGGTATTTTTTCACCGGCGCATGGAAATAATTGTCGTGTTGTAAAGATTTTACAAAGATAATTTTCAGCAAAATATGTTGAAATAAAGCTAATCATAACAAATAAAGGTAATATATCGGTCACTTGTATTAATGTATCCATAATATGAATCGAAACAGTCACTTTATATTGTTTGAAATTCACATTCAATCTGTTTGATCATATTCTCCATGTTAACTTGATAAATACGGATGTCTGACAGCTGTTTTGTTCATCTGATAAAAAATATAGTCCACAAAAATTTGTCCTTAACTTTGTGTCTATTATTTTTTAAAATTAGCACCATAAAAGTATTATGATTTTATTATATTAGTTATATTATTTCTTGGCTACATCTTTTTAATTTATTTTAGAAAAAAAAATACAAAAATGAAAGCGCATTTATTCTGGTTATTTTTTATATCAGAACTACTTCTAGATTGCATCAGAATAAACCAGTTTCACAGAAAAGAAGGGGAGGGAATAGACG